TAATAACTTAAATGGCAAATCTAATTTTCAGAAATAAGTCCGGTAAAGTATTAAAACCTTATAATATTTTAAAAATCTCAATTTCTAACATGTGGATTTAAAACTTGCATACTTATTAATACAGCATATTAGCCAATACATTTGAGCTTATCATATAGGCCTACGAAAAAGGCATTTAATTGCTTTTGCATGATGCTTCTAATCAATTTCAGCCTAATTTATGGAAATCTGAATTAAAATCATGACGCCAAGAATGTATTGAGGATGCTGTGGAATAATATCTAAGGACTTAGTTGTTTCTCTGCCAATCACAGGCATCCTGGCAAATCCTGTTTTGCCAGCTGTCATTCTTTCTTCTCACCCTAGAAATCTGTTCATGCCAATTGTTTAAAACCCAATTATCCCCTTTCTTAAACCAGAGCACAAATGCAATATTTATTAGATCATTACCAGCTTTGACAGAAAATGGTGAGTATAGTTCCCTTGTTTAACAAAAGTAATTACTAACTTCAGAACTGATAAGTAACATTTAAAATGTCCTTTTTTTGGTTGGTTATTATTTTGCTTCTTTTCAAAAGGAGAGATATATTTTCTAAAAATAAAATTGTTAACTTTCTTGGTTTTATATTTCTTCTTTGCCCTCTTAGGAGCAGTACTCAGTTTTCACTGCTAATCAGTGGTGGGATTCAATTTTTTTTACTACCAGTTCTGTGGGTGTGGCTTGGTGGGCGTGGCAGGGGAAGGGTAGTGTAAAATCTCCAGTCAGAGGTGGTATTTGCTGTTCTCTGAACTACCCAAAATTTCCACTACTGGTTCTCCAGAACTGGTCAGAACCTGCTGAATACCACCTCTGCTGCTAATTGATTTCAATCTCTATCCCTTCTCTGATCAGAATATTTGCATAAGATGTATAGGGAAGAAACAATTAATAGAGAAGAAGCTGCTTTATAATGAGATTGACAACTGCCCCTTCTAATTTATTACACCCTACATTCAGCAGTCATGGTTCTTTGAATCTTTGATACCTTGCTTGGAAAGATCAGCAGCTTAACTATAACTTCGGAAGACAAACCATGTGCTGTATTACCAAGCTACTGACTGTGAATGAATGGTCCATATATTCATTCATAATAGATGTCCTCTATTACTCCATCTATCTTCTCAGCTGCACAGACGCACTGCAGCGTTGAGCACTGTTGAATCCATGGACCATCTATTTCTCTTTTCTTCCTCTCCACAGTATGCCTCTCCAACATTTTCACCCCACGGACTGTTTCCATATGTGTACAGCAAAAATAGGCTAACAGTAGTCACTCATATGCTGAGTAATTCTTACACCTGAAAAGTGTTATGGAAAGGAAAACAAAGCTTGGATCCAACTCCAAAGAAAAAGAAATTGCTCCTATGATGGACAATTGTAGAAATGGGATTGTAGAGAGGAAGAACCAGCAAGGACCTTAATTTAGGAAGAAGGTTGGGGATTTCACAATGGTTTAATTCAGACATCACCAAAGTGAAATTCTGTGCTCTTCTCCACTGCCATGAATTGCTTAGCATATATGATGATATTACAATCTGCTGCTAACATATTTGTCCCTGCACTATCTGAGTTGGTAAGAAAAGACCAGGAACACAGATTTGGAACTTTTCTTCTCTCTGGAAAATATTATAAAACTGGGAAAGGAGACTCAGGCTTATGTGCACTCTAGAAACTTCTTTGGAGCTTGGATTTCATTTTGAAATATTTTATTTTATTCATAAAAACATTTCCCTTCTGTTATGAAAAGCAAGATACAAATGGGGCAAACATATATGTTGCAACTATTTCATCTACTAACAGAAAGCACAATTATTTTATCACAATGGGCACAGACTGATTTTATTTTCTTATGTACTCTTTTTTAAAAAAATCTTCTTTTAAAAAAATACCTCCTTATTTTTCTTGTTCCCATTGGGCACTTGAGTGGTTCTGACAGGATCATTATTTTGCCCTATTCTCCAAAGACTGAAATTGTGACATTGAAGGGAAAAAAAATCACCACCTGGAACTGAATAGATATTGAAAGAACAAACCCAAAATCTCATCAACATTCTAAGAGTTAACAATAAATGACATGCGGGGCTCCCCTTCTAGTTATAATCCCCAATAATTTATTTTTCAGGTATATTTCCTTTCATTTCCACAAGCCCAAGAAAAAGAATACTCAAAATCCTGAGGAAATATATAATATGCCTTGCAAAAACTTTTGGTTTACAAATGGTGTTTTGTAAAAGAAACCACTAACTAGGAAACCTGCTAAGGAGAATATTCATGTACAATCAAATTTCGGTCACAAATGCATGCCAATGACTTGGAGTGGGTGATCTGTCAAGATCAATCTTGCTCAGTTTCTCTTTTTCTAGCTTTCGGTTACTTCCATCCCATTACATATCATTTGGCAGTTTGTATGTAAAATGTCAACATAAAATTTTGCACATCTTTTCATAAACTTTTTTCTAAGGACACATTTCTGTGCAATTCCCCCCCCCACCAACATTCTTATATGTCACCTTTACCAAACTATTAATTTTTGTATGGGTTTTCCCCTTATGTATGCGTTTACACTTTGCTCTTGTTGCTGTTTACAACTCATATTGCAAAATGTAGGAACGTTTGCCAAATTGTGTTCAGTGCACGTTAATTTCAGAAAGTTTGTAAATTCACAATAAAATGCAACACAATTTGTCCCCAGCCCTAATGATAAATTAAACACGTGTATCCAAAGAATGATGTACACAGTACACAGGAATTACCTCCCTCTTGTTCCTTGCACTGTTAATATTTTTGACTGAAACTCGAGTTTTTGCAGAAGAAAATATGTAATAATATAAAATGTATATTATACATAATGATGTTTTAAAATATATGAGTATTTATAAGCACTTTGCCTTGGGACTTGTGTTTGTGTTTATTTATTTCCAGTTTATTGATGATTATTAAAGTGATATTTAAATATTTACTCAAATAAAAAACATATGTGACTGAATGTACAACAATTCCGAATGCAAAACAATAAATGGGAGACACAACTGCTGGAGAAGTCTCATGAACAGCAGCACATTCTGAAAATAAGCCTTTCCACTGAGAAAAACATTTTTGTTTTTTGTTCTACCCAAATGTAGGCAATTTTAATTCAGCTTTAATTCAACATTCCCAGAGGGGGCAATTCTGTTCCAAAGGTTCCCATATGGTCTTCTAGCATCGTTTTGCTGTGTACTCTGGCATCCTAGAGTAAGTGTAACATACAAAGGTTTAAAAAGGAAACTCTTAGCTAGCCTAAAAGAAAGAGAGATACAATCCTTGTCCCAGGAAATCATGGCAAAATCCCAGTTCAATCTATTCCTCACTGTATCAACTCTAACCTTTTCCTCCATTGTTGAATGCAACTCCCTATCCACCAAAATATTCCTCACTGCAAGTAAAGAAAACTAATTTAATAATTTAAATATCATGCTAAGCTGGTTTGCTAAAAATTCCTGTAACTAATTAATTAACAAACACTTCTCTTCTTGCTAGGTGGCTTGTATGGTTTATAACTGTTTCCCAACTCTGACTTGTTACAAATAAACTTCTATGGTTTATTTAGCCAGTTCCCTGGGAAGAATGATTGAGTTCATTCATATGCAGGCACAATCATTAATATTTATTTGACTGAAAAAGCTTTGTGGCAATTTTACTAAATATATTATGTGAAGTGTGGCTTTCACTTATTGACTGGAGTCACACAACACACTATACCACACGAAAGCGAGAAACTTAGAAACTTAATAGCTTGTGGTTCCTGGTGTTATAGAAACCAAGCCATCACGTTAAACCATAATATGTGTTTTTATTCACCACTATTATATTTCTTATGTGAGCCCATAGAAAAGCTGAATCCCCCAACATTTAGATAGCAATAAACTTTATTTGGATTAAAGTCCCAGTGTTTACATTTTATGCAATTATCTATTTTTTAAAGCAGCATTTTCCACTATTGAGAATGTTTTAAACAAAATGAAAATAAGCTTTCAATAGATTTTTTTTCTTAAAATCAACCAATCCACGGGTTTACATGGGATAGTTTTGGGGGACCAAAACTCCTTGATCTTTGATTTTTCACAGCAAATGTGAAACAAACAAGTGGCAACTTCAAATCTCAACCAACAAATGCTCTGTCTTACACACTGGCAAAAAAAACAAACAGAAAATAAAATACAAGCTGGATGGACACAACCTTGTAGATGACTCTCACTCTGCCAAGGACCTTGGAGTACTCATCTCTAATGATCTAAGAGCCCACTGTAACAACATTGCTAAAAAGGCATTAAGAGTTGTTAACCTAATCTTGTATAGCTTCTTCTCTGGTAATATTGTACTGTTAACTGCTAGAATTGCTAGACCAATTCTCAAATACAGCTCATCTGTCTGGATCCCGCATTGCATATCAGACATTATTACAATTGAGAGAGTCCAGAGATATTTCATGAGAACAGTCCTCCACTCTTCTGCTTGCAACAGAATACCTTATACCACCAGACTTGAAATTTTGGGCTTAGACAACTTAGAACTACGCTGCCTTCGGTCTGACCTAAGCGTAGTAGATAAAATTATCTGCTACAATGTCCTACCTTTCAATGACTTACTTCAGCTTCAACCACAACAATACACAAACAAACAATAGATACAAACTTAAGGTAAACTCAACTGCAGAAAATACGACTTCAGCAACAAAGTTGTCAGTGCCTGGAATGCACTACCTGACTCTGTGGTTTCTTCCCTAAATCCCTAAAACTTTAACCTCAGACTGTCTACAGGTGACCTCACTCTATTCCTAAGAGGTTTGTAAGGGGCGTGCATAAGCGCACCAATGTCCTAATGTCTCCCTTTTATTCGTACCCATTTCATGTAATCGTAATCATGTTCTAAAATATCTGTTATCTAATACATGCTTGATAAATAAATAAAATAAATGACTCACCTGTCCAAGCATGTCTGGTGCTATAGGAATGACTGGCCAGATAGTAGAGTAGACACCAAAGAAGACGAGCCAGAGCAGCATGCTTCCCCAGACAGCCAAGTGACTGAACTGTAGGAGAAAAGAAACACACCATCAAGATTGAACAGGTCTTTCTTCTCCCTTGCCACTCTCATTTGTCCCCTCAACTATTATTTTACTTTGAGTCCTTTTTCCCCCATCAAAGCTTTGGCCAACCTCACTCAAGACTGACACTTGATCTTGGTTTTATGCCAGCAGCAAGATTGGTAAAACCTCTGAGAAAACTCCCATGTTGAAACTTTATGTTGTCTTGGCCAGCATGTTACCCTCTGCTATCACCCCCTCAGACTAAAAAACTATTCTTAGTATACAAAAATTCTCCACTAAATCAAAAGAGATTTTTTTTGGTCCTAACAGTGCTATAATATTTTTTAAAATCCCCTGGATTCTCCAGAAATGTGAAATATCTGGTTTTCTAGAACTGAATTCTAGAAAACGGAACGTAACACTGCAGCTTTTTCATGATTAACATATATTATAATTTCTACCAGACATCCACCTGAAGCATCTATTATCTTATATACAGTATTAAAAGGCATATTGTTTCTATGAGCTTCATTTTAATAGCTGCCTAGGCATCTCTAGACTTCTCTTGCCTTGTTCCTCACATTCATTTGGGGGAAGAATCTTACTTTTGGAATTGAATACCTGATAAGAGTATTTGACATGGGAGTGGGCAACACTGTACTTATATGTGCTTATGTGCATGTGAAGAGTTATATATTAGTTTATGATTACCACATCTTGATAAATGGAAAGAAAGCCAAAGTGAGTGAGGCCACTCCATTTTCTTACATTTCCCCCTTGTCTAGCATCACCTTTAGCACCCTGCCTTTCTCCTGGCCTAGGAAGGAAAGATTGCATTTGGTAGAAGATTGAAGAAAGGTTGTCAGTTTAAATCCTGTGACAGAAGGAAGGAAGGAAGGAAGGAAGGAAGGAAGGAAGGAAGGAAGGAAGGAAGGAAGGAAGGAAGGAAGGAAGGAAGGAAGGAAGGAATAGCTGTAAACAAGCATATATCCTTGATTGTTTGTTTGTTTCGGATTATATATAATTCTAAACCAAGAAGTCACTGACTGGCTTGCAAAACCCTTGCCAGGAACAGGATTTAAAACCATACATGAAAACAAGAAAGAAAAGAAGACGAAAAGCAAATAAACACATATCACGCTTCAAATTGGGTTTGCAACACATCCTTATTCCAAATTTTACTTTTTGAATAAAGAATTGTAATTTCAGCTCAGGAAATGTCAATAGTGAATTATGAGAAATGTCAAGGTTTCACACCAGAAAGGCAAGAACAGGTTGGCTGATAATTCTTTGTGAGTTTTAGACATGCAAACATACAAGCATGTCTATACTCATAGTTTCTTCAAATTAGATCTCTAAAGAATCAAAATGCCTGGATCAATCTTGGGAGTATTTTAAAATGGAAAGATGTGAGACAGACTAATTCTTGTGGGAGACCTCCAAAGCTTGCCAAGATTCCTTAGAACTACTGAGGTCCACTACAGACAGAATTATAGTTGTGGTTCCACATAGCACTTAATGTAGTATTGTATTTTTCCTCAAATCCATTATATAAATTGAAGGAAGTTAATTTATATAGTGAAGAAAATGTGCTTGTTCAATACAAAGACAACTGCTGAGAAGCAGCAGAAAGGAAACAGGAAAATGAAAGAATATGAATATGAGAATTAGTACTCAGGACTGACTATACTGCAGATTTGACAAACAGTATGAAAGTTAAGAAATGATAAATATAAAAATTTGTGGATTTATAGATACGTAGGTAATTAGTCTAAAATAACAAATCAAAATAAAGTAACGAAATATAGCTCTGAGACTCCCCCTTTCTGTCCTTTAAGTGATTATGGCAAAAAAAGTTTCATGTGTTATGATTGCTAATTAATTTCATAATAAATTAGCTTTGCTTTTTATATATATATATTTAGTAATACAGTTTCTTATAATTCCTGTAAGCCACCAGAGAATAGCTACTATACGGTGACCAAAATCTTGAATATACAAATCAAATTAATTCCTAAGAATGTTTTTTAATTTTGAACCTTTTCCTGCAATCTTCTGTTCAAACTAAATATAATAATAGAAAAATGTTAAAACATAAACAAAGCTCATCATCAAACAAACAACATTTTCACAGGGAAATTTTAATTCTGGCAATGCGATTCAGGGGCTGAAAATTTAGGGCTCTCTAGATGTTTTAAACAACTTCAACGGTCCCTGTTAGTTGACATGCTGATGGAAACTTTTGAGAATTGTAGTCCAATATCTATGAATAGTTCCAGACTAGCAATTATATTTGTGTGAAGATCTTTTGTTTTCCAATACTGGTCACACCATAGCATAAAGTATGGCTCAATTAACCAGGCAGCTGGAATGCTGGCATGGATGCTTGTGAGTAAATTGTGAGTGGAAGAGAATGAATGAAGGAGTGAATGAGCCAACTCCTCTCAAGTTTCTGGGAAAAATCAGGAGTTGTGCTGAGTCTTGAGGAAATGGGAATGAGAAACATTTCTGCTTAGCTGCAGCTGCTTTTTCCAAGTACAGGCAGCAATCCCAATTTTACTTCCTCACAATATGAACCAATGATGATGATAAGCTTCCAGACTATTAGGCTAAGATCTAATTAATTGATGTTTTGCCAGGAATTGTGGGAAGCCATCTTCAGAGTTGAACGTGGTCTACTTTGTAGCAAATTTCTTGGCAACTCACAAGCAACTGAGCAGGAAGTAACAAGCTCATATGTTCATAACAGAACGAATCTCTAATTGGAGCAGATCATTGGAATTCTTTAAACTAATTTCTGATTGGTTGTTCATTCCAATTGAAATGTAAATTTCTAATTGGTATGATTTGAAGAAATTCTGAAGGAGCTAATTTTCTATAGGTCTCTCTCTTTGAAAGGCATTGCTGATTATTATTTTTCAGATTTTGGCCAACCTCACTGAAGACTGACATTTGATTTTATGCCAGCAACAAGACTAGTGAAATCTCTGAGAAAACTCTCATATTGAAACATTTTTTTCCTCTTGGCCAGTAGTATGCTGCTCATTGTTGGCACCTCCTCAAACTTTAAAAAATATGTTTTTTAAATATTCTGTATAGTGTTTGGTAATTCAATTAATTAATTGTTAGGATTAATTAACCTGGAAGCTCAAAAATCACTGGCTTTACAAATATACTTCAACATTTCATTTACATATTATTCTTATTATATTAATGTTATTATTGTATATAATGTATATTATTAAGTGTGATTCTTGACTCTTGATGAATGTATCTTTTCTTTTATGCACACCGAGACCATTTGCAACAGGACAAATTCCTTGTGTGTCCAATTACACTTGGTCAATAAAGAAATCTATTCTATTCTATTCTATTCTATTCTATTCTATTCTATTCTATTGATGTAATCCTATAAAGTTCTAGTCTAGTCTAGTCTAGTCTAGTCTAGTCTAGTCTAGTCTAGTCTAGTCTATTCATATACAATGTATATGTTAATATACTGTATTTATGAATATGGAGCCAAAACAGTAGTCTGATCATGCTTCATCGTACTTCAATCATTTTATACTTCCAGCATATTAAAGTGAACAACCATTTTTCATTAAAAAACTGAAGTACACATTAATTATGAAACAATAAGTCACTTAATTAATTTCATCATAGGATCAGCTGTCTTACTTGAGCTTTGCTTTGCTTTAAAGACCTGAGAAGGTTGTAATTGCCAGGATTGGGCACAAAGATACTTTTTCATCACCACTATAACTGCATCTGGCTGCTGTACATGACAGTTGTTAAAAACTAACGGCTGCTGTAATAACAATTGAATTCAACCTCAATGAATTTAATTAATAAAACAGATGGAAATCCCAATTTGGCTGAAATATGCTCTAAAAATTTTCACTGCACCATATCAAAATTCTTTCCCCCATCCAACAATATTTCCACTGCTAAATCAAATTTTTCTGAATGTATATTTCAAATATCAATCAACAATCTATTATTGTCAAGGATTGATGCCATTTTAGAAAACAGCATTGTCCAGGATAAACTTTTTTAAAAAATTAAAAGTAATATTGTCTGTACACTATGTGACAGAGTTGCTATCAGAGGTTTTGCATTAAGAAGGTTGACTCAGCTTTCTGTCCTTCCGAGGTGGGTAAAATGAAGATCCAAATTGTTAAATTGTTGGGGGCAATAGGCTAACTCTGTAAAGCGCTTAGAGAGGGCTGTAAAGCACTGTGAAGAGGTATCTAAGTGTAAGTGCTAAGTGCCAACAAGTGACAAAAAAAATGATAGTAATTTGCATATTCAACAGCATTTTTACCAGCATTCAAATTTATCATTATAGAACTCTTATTAAAAGCAGGGAAAACATTATTTAAAAATTATTACAAACTTTGAGTGATATAAGAAGAAAAAAAGTAAAAATAAAAATATGCTACATGTTCATGTGTGATTTTCAGAAAATCTAGATTATTTTTAAAATATTGATTTCTCCTTCTATGAATTTTTAAATTAACATATAAAATATAAAAGCAAAACAATGATGCTTTATTCATTCATATCCCTTATACAATTTACAGAATATTAAGCTATTGGCATTGTTTCTATCAATAGGTCAGTAATTTACCATGATCTTCTATGTATTTCGTTCTCAATACCTTCCTTGAATAAAATGCTATGAGTATTCCATATTAAGTTCAAATTCCAGATTAACTGAAGCAACTCTATTGTTCCAGTGGGGCTTATCTCACTTATGTTTTTAAATGTTCATAAATGTTATTTTCTAAATGTTTTTATTTAATTTTTTTGTATATTCTTCCATGATTCTTCTTTCTATTACAATCACAAATACTGTATATACTTTAAATCAGGGGTGTCAAACTCAAAGCCCGGGGGATGTATCTGGCCTGCAGGGCACCCTGGAAACAGTGAAGGATCAGCCCGCGTTGCCTCTGCTAGCAAAACTGGAGCTTGTGAGGGCCACACACGGTCCTCCTGAGCTCCGTTTTCACTGGCAGAGGTTGCAGGAGGCCGTCTCAGCTGAAAATGGAGCTCGGGAGCCCATTTTTGCCAGCAGATAGCTTGGGCCACCACAGGTGCCCCTCAACACAAGTGACGTCCTGCTGGCCACATACCCTAGGTCAAACATAGCCCTGAGGAGGCCCTCAATGAAAGCGAGTTTGACACCCCCTGCTTTAAATGATTCCCAAAATATAGCATATTTACAAAATATCTATTTATAGCAGAAAAAAAATAAAAATCTGGTTTCATCTGTCTTATAAAAAAAAAGTAATGATACATGTAAATGTTGTGAAAAATAAAACAACTTCTAGCTACAGTAGTACTGAATTCAGCTCCAGCATATTAACTTGTAATCTTTTATTATTTTTGTTTTTGTCAGTGATCTGTTTTCTATCCACAGACAATGATCAGCATACTCTGCTTCCCAAAGGACTCCATACTAGAATATTAAAATCAGTAACACAATCCTTTATAGAAATAGTTTGACAAGCAAACTACAATAAAATAAAACAAGACAGTAAATATCTCAACTTGATCCCAAGTGCGGACAAGCAACAGAGCGGACCTGGATACTAAATGCTAAAAAGAACAGTTTAAAGAACTAGATGTATTTAGCCTAAAAAGGGGAGACTAAAGGGAGACCTGATAATGGTCTTCCAATATCTGAAGGGCCGTCACAGGGCAGAAGGTATAGAGCAGGGGTGTCAAACTCATGGCGTCATGGCATCGTCACAGGATGTATCCTGACTTCCCCCCCTTTGTTAAATTGGGTGTGGGCGTGGCCATCTACATGACGCATCTGGCCCACATGCTGTGAGTTTGACACCCCTGGTATAGAGTTATTCTCCAGAGCACTGAGAATAGAACAAGAACCAATAGGTGGGAGCTTAACAGAGAGAAATGCAAACTTGAAATGAATTTTTTGAGAACTCTCAAGCAATGGAACAACTTGCGCCTTTGAATTTTGTGTGTGCTATGTCACTGAAAGTCTTCAAACAAGGTTAGACAGCAATTTGTCTGGATTGGCCTCAAGATTTCTGCCTTGGGAACAGCGTTGGACCAAAAGATCTGCAAAGTCTCTTCCAATCCTATGATTTTGTGATTCTATAAATTATGAAAGTAATTTTTCTTCTGGATAAAATTGCAATTCAATTTTAGACAGCAAAAACGAATTTGAGATCCCTACTACTGACTTAATATTTATACTCACCTTTGTCCATGCTGTGGTTTCTAAGCCAGCTTTCAAACAGACTGTCACCACAACATACTGCAGTAAAAAAGTAGAAGAAAAATTTGAATTTCAGCACATTTTCCCCATTCACAGTTCTCTTGATTTCTTTGAGTAAAAGGTACACTACATTGGAAAAGCATGGCCTAAAACATTAGAAATTAAATGCCATATTTTGATAAATTTAATATTTAGCACATTTCAGAAGTACAGAAATTCTGAAATGATAGGAGGAGATCATACATACATATTCCCATGCCTCTGTTCTCATTATAGGATCCATCAACTACTAACTAGCTATTATATAGCCCAACTACATGCATGCTTAACATGCTTTATGACAGGCCTAATAGTATTAGAATAAATAGCAATAGAATTAGCAATTAGACTTATATACTGCTTTACAGTGTTTTACAACCTTCTCTAAGTTGTTTACAGAGTCAGCATTGCCCCCCAACAATTTTGGGTCCTCATTTTACCCACCTCAGGTTGCCATAACTTCCTCGGGAAATATTCTTTATCTTTTAATAGCTGCCCAGTTTGACAAATTCAACACACACAACTTTCTACGGCATAATAGTGGTAACTCTAAGTACATTCTACGCTATTTATTTATTTATTATGCCCAACCATAGGAAATTGTCAGATCTTACCCAAGAATGTCATAGGACAATACAGCCAAAATTTAGTTCTCTATTTGCTAATTCCAAATAGACACAATCTTGCCAGAATAAACATATACAAGTAGTCCTCGACTTGCGATCACAACTGAGCCCAAAATTTATGTTGCCAATTGAGAAATTTGCTAAGTGAGTTTCCCCCCATTTTATGACTTTTCTTGCCACATTTGTTAAGCAAATCACAGCAGTTGTTAAATGAGTAACACGGTTGTTAAGTGAATCTGGCTTTCCTGTTGATTTTGCTTTCAGAAGGTCACAAAAGGTGATCACATGTCCACCACTGCAACCATCATAGTTGTTTAAGTATTGTTACTGTTAAGTATCTGACTGTAAATCACATGACCATGGGAATGCTGAAAGGGTCATAAATGTGAAAAAAGTCACTTTTTTCACTATCGTTGTAACTTCGAACGGTCAGTAAATGAACTGTTGTAAGTTGAAGACTACCTGTACTACTATCAACCTAACAGACATACCCTGGGAGATTCTAGGGAGTGGCTATCCTAAATCTCTGATCCAGCTCTGGGCTGTGTTGTCTCTTGTTACACACACACACACGCACACACACACCCCACACCCCCTTGGAATCTGCTCCCTTCTTCCTAGGAAATTGCCACTTCATACATTATCTCCCTTCATAGACACACTCCATCACCGAAATACATCCATAATTGAAATCTTACAATAGGTAATATTTCATTTTGCATTAGCTTACCGTATAAACAATATTTCCAACAAACAGGTAGTCAACAGCCTGGCCATTTGTAAACACTGTATCTACAATAAATAATGAAAAAATATTAGATACCTTGTTCAATAAAGTCCAAATGACTGGTTGCTCAGTATATCTGGAACAAATTTTGTGTAACATACAATTCTTCTGTTCTTTCTTGTTTGAATGAAGAAACTGACTGCCCACTTTGCCTCCTTTCTTTTGATAGCTGCTGAAACATTTTACAAACTTCATATTGAGGCAGAGGTCAAAAGGGTGTCACTGGTAGCCCTTCGAGGTAGTCCAGAAAAGAAGAATAACTATCTTTAGGGCAGTGGTGGGATTCAAAATTTTTTACTACCGGTTCTATGGGCATGGCTTAGTGGGCGTGGTGTGGCTGGTGTGGCTTGATGAGTGTGGCAGGGGAAGGATACCGTAAAATCTCCATTCCCACCCCACTCCTGGGGAAGGTTACTGCAAAATCCCATTCCCTCCCCACCCCACTAACCTACTTTCCAGCTCCGTTCTCCTGTGCAGGGCAACAAAAGAAGACCCAGCCAATCAGCTGGGACTTGGGAGGCAGAGAATAGATTGGGGCGGGGCCAGTCAGAGGTGGTATTTGCCAGTTCTCTGAACTACTCAAAATTTCCACTACCGACTCTCCAGAACTGGTCAGAACCTGCTGAATACCACCTCTGCTTTGGGGTAAGATTCCAGTAAGAAAATCTTGCAAGTGTGAAAATCTTTTTCCTTTCTCAATTTAATTCTCCCTAAAACTAGGAAGGATTCCTTCTGAGATGTTTTTGCCCCTTTAGAATTCAGATTTCATGATCAGAGTGCTGGCTATATTGCAGCTCTTCTTCCTGTCTTTCTCACATACCGTTACATTGGGTGAGATTTACTGAGCATTGAGGACAGATTGGAAATTTCAGGGCTTGAGAATACTTGTGAAAATATTGTGGAACAATCAATATTATATTCTGATATTTATATATTGATAGTCATATCAATGTCATTGCTTTGTTTTATTTTATCTTGACATATAGTCCTGTGGTTCTAGTAGCCCATGATTTTGCAAAGATTTCTTCTGAACCAACTCCTAACAATTGAGAGACATGGTAAAGACTTATTTGCAAACATGCATTTCTAAGGCTGCTAAAGTCTATTCATTGCAGAGATGTTTAAAAGACATACCCTTAGATATAGGTGAATGATAGCTTTCATTTCAAGAGTTAAAGGATTTCTTCAAATACAGATAGAAAGTCTCTCGCCCCTTCTGTTTAAGAAATTTAGCATTTTCATGTGGAAATAGCTTATAAAAATCTTTACCAATTCCAATTTAAATCTTCCGAAGGGATTTTGAAGACGGAATTTTAAAATCAGTAAGTTTTGATCTAATATGAATTTGACAATCACTATTACAAAACCTGGAAAACATACAAACTCTAACTTTTTGCTTCTATCTAGTAGTTATCTGGATTTTTGCAGCCTGGATCGGATGCCCCTAATGCAGCAGAATCAGCAGAATTTTTTAAAAAACGAAGTTGGGTAGGAGCCATCTGAAAAAAAAAAAAACCCGATTCTCTTTAAATTATCAGGTCAGGTAAATATTTGGTCAAATTCCTCTTTTCATTAATCTAAACCAAATGATAAGACATACAGTTAGGGAAGCTGCATAACACCAACGTACTTGCTTCTTTTTAATGTGTAAATCAATTTTAAATAAACATAGCTTCACCAATGGACATTGTGATTTATAATGGATGTGAATTGCTATCTATTAAAGATGGCATGCAGAAAGGGAGGACTGTAGAAGGTCATTGCTGATAAATGTTAGAAAGCTGTTGGTCTGGCTGCAATGATTAATTTCCAAGGGAAATGTTTTGACCTCAAATATAAAGGGGATGGCTTAGAAAGATTGAAGATTACTTAGTTAACACATGGGAAAGAACAATGCATTTATTTACCATGTTCTAGTGCTTTCAGGGGAAGCCAAAAAAGAATGATGGAATGGATCAAGGCATTGATGCAATGACCCCAGAACACCTAAAGGAAAAACAAACAAGAAAGTCAGGACAGTGATCAAACTCTCCAACAAGTCGCATCAAACGATTCATTAAGTCCTATCAAATGAGTGAACAATTTTTAGTAGAAAGTGGTTTTTTTTTTTATTGCAAAAGCTGGCGTGTTACCACACACGCAGAGAGACAAAGGCAAATTAAAAAAAAAAAAAGAAGGAAAATTCAACAGGACTAAACCCACACAAAGACATCCCTATCTTTGTTAAGTTTTGAAAAATGTATGCAGCAAAGCCATCTACTTCCCATGTTTTAGATTTTTTTAAGATGTTTTTATGTGTATCGATCCAAACATTATCATGAAGTATGCCTTCGCGTTTCCTGGAATTGAATTTTAGGTGGAGGAAAACCATACATCAAGTATCCATTTTCTATTCTTTCTCATGCCTGGGTGTTTTTTTCATACAAATCAACCAAGGAAACCATGAAAATTTGACACTGAATAAATTTAGCATTAAAATATATGAATGTAATTAATAGTGGTGTGTGTGTGGGTGAAATTAATTAACTAACTAATACTTAACTGAAGGGGACTCTAGGCAGTTCCCCAAATGCTCCAGAAAATCTAAATATTCATCTGAGTAGCACCAGTCTAGAGTTTGGGAACCTTTTTGGACTAGGAACCATCATTTTTAAAATGATTTTTTTCTTGGGGAGTCAAAAGCTGCAGAAAACTTTGCAGAGTTATTATATTACTAGCTCGATACCCGTGCTTCACTATGAAATTATGTGGTTGGGCTTAGTTTGGGGGGAGGAAAATAAGGGGAAAAAATTATGCCCCTGCCTACCAGCATCCATCGGTATTCATCTGGCTAGCATCCTGTCAAGTGTGTGAGAGAGTTGTGGGCTGTTTGGAAACTGAAACAGTATTTGCTGTGTGAGCAAGAAGGAGACAGCAAGGAGCCTGGGCGTGGCTTAGTTCAACTGTTTTGTACTAAAGCTGCTTGGTGCTGTGAAACTAAAACTGAAGCTGAAATTCCTCTCCTCTGCTTGTGTTTTGCATTTGGAACAGATTTCTTTTCAGGTGGGGAAGGGAGTAGAACACCTTAGCATCAGAGCATGTTAGTAATAATATACAAAATACTAATGCTCTGATTTTGAAAAATCCTTTCTCAGTGAGCACCTAGAAGGAAAGAGGAACATACGTGCCAAATTTCAAGTTTGTAGGCTTTACGGTTCTGGAAATTTTGTGATGATGCATGA